TATGTACCTACCCCTCAAATTAATGCTTGAGGATTTTCTCTTAAAGCATAGGGAATCAAGTGTTTTAATTTCTGTGCATTAATCTTTATTTTCCACATGAATTATGTGATTTTAGGAAGTTACCTGTTGTATGTGAGACTCATTTTCCTGGTTTGTGAAATGGGGGAAATAGGGTCATTTAATTGGGTCACTTGATGGATAATAGTGTACTTGAAAAAATATCTCATACACAATAACTATTCAGTGGTAGCTATCATGGTTACTGGACCCCTAAAGGAATGCCTAACATGTGTGATGCAATCTTATTGATGACTTCACTGCTGTTACCAAGAGGATCATCTTGCAGCCGTGATCACTCTATATTGGCTTATTTGATTCATATACATGTTGTGTCCTTTGTCCAATTGCCCTCGCTTTTATAGCAAATTGGTCTTGGTCATTCTAGAATGTGAAAAGTATGAACCTCAAGGAGCTGGATCCATTTTTTTATAAAGCAGTTTTATTGAGATACAAAATGATGTTCAATTTGCTTTTTCTCAATTTAATATAAAAGGAATCATGTACTATATGCTGCTTTGTGATTTTTTAAGATCATCCACATGGTACTATGAATCAGTACTTTTTAAAAAATTGCTGGATGATATTCCACTTGTATAGGTAGGCCACATTTTGTTGATCCAAATATGTATGGATATTTTGGTGTTTTCCATTTTGGGGCTATTATAAATAATGCTACTATGAATACCTAAATAAAATTATTTGTGTGTGGTTGTAAGTTTTCATTTACCTTGAATATACATCTAGAAGTGGAATTAATGAATCAATTGGTAACTCTCTAACTACTTGAGCCACTGCTAGGCTGTTTACCAAGGTAGCTGCATCAGTTTCACTTTCAACAGCAAGTATGAGGATTCCAATTATTCCATATATTCACCAATACTTCTTGTCTATTCTTATTATGATAGCTGTCTTAGTGAGTGTGAAATGACATCACTGTGGTTTTACATTTCCCTGGTGGCTAATGGTAGTATCTTTCTATATACTTATTGACTATTGGCCTCTCTTCTTTTGAGAAATGCCATTTCAGACTCTATCTCCATTTTTAAATTGCTATCTTTTGTTTTTATCATTAGATTGTATGAGCTTTTTATTTTATATCTTCTGCATGCCAACCCCTTACCAGGTATATGGTTTGCAAAATTTTTCTCCTGTTTTGTGTGTTGTATTATTTTTACTTTCTTTTCATTTTTTCCTGTGATCATTTTTAAAAAACAGTTCCATGAGTGTGACAGGAAAATGAGAATTCATGGACTAATTCTCAGCCAGCCCAGTGCAATTCCACACAAACTCTTTTTTTCCATAATGTGGTAGTGAAATGATGAGCATTCAGATGAAGTTGCATTTACAAAATACACAAATTTAGCCAGCACAGGAACAATTGCAGGGCCTTTGTCCTTTCCAAAATAGTTTCACAGTAGCTCTGCAGGGTCGTATATGGTATGTTACATGAGTTCAGGAGTAGGCCCCCTTGTGCCCTTCTCTTGGCTTCCTTGTAATTATGTACTGTTCAAAATTCAGTGGAAGGAGCATGGAATTTATCACTGTCACTGCTGCCAGTGTCTTCTATGAAAAATGGCTTCTCCACCTCCAGTGCTGTTTCCCAATTTTTACTACTGTTTAGTACAGAAATGAGAATGCCCTTAATATCATAATCTCTTGGGTCAAGCTCAGTCTCAGCTAAGTCTCAAGTAGGACTACAACTGATACCCTCAGTGAATTATTCAAAGTGATTTTTAGAGAAATACTTTCTAAAGCAAAGTGTCACATGAAATATCAGTATCCCCCATCTGGACAACATTTGCAGGTTCTACTTCTCACTTCCTTGATGGCAGTAAGAGAAATAAGCTCTTGAAGGTCAATACTGGTGTAAATGTACTTGAGAAGCATCAGTTCTAAACTCCATCAGAGAGCAGTTTTGGTTTGGCTTGTCACTAACCTACTTTAGGAATTTATGCAGGTGCCTTACATGTGTGTCTGTTTGCTCTTCTCTAAAGTAGCAATAATGATTTTTCTAATAAGCAGTGTTGGTCCTTGTCACAACTAACTGGAAAGGCAGAGGTTCAGATAATGACATGACTGGGATTTGAAGGCAGGAATAGCCTTCTCTGTGTGGACTGTTTCCAATTCATAATTCAGTATCCAACAGGAAGTAGGTTCTTCATGCCTAGTGGATGATCCTGAAATTACTCTTAACTAACAGATTAATTGAAGGTGCCTTTTAGGCTACAGTTTTGAAATCTTGAATTGCTCAAACTTGTTTAGAACACATCTCAAAATGTTTTAATATGACTCAATTATAAATATAAAAAAAACCCTGAACACCAGATTAGAGGAAATATGAATATAATTTAATCATTAACAGTCAAATATGTGAGATTTATCTTTGTACCTTCTTTCCTATATCACTCTTCTCCACTCTTCTTCCAGTGTAATCTTTCTGAACAGAAGTCTGGTCATGTCAGATTTTAACAGCATCCCGTTGCTTCCCATGAGTTAGCTGACAAAGCCCTGATTCCTCAGCATTGCAGTCAGAAACCCCTGAAATCCACATCTCTCTCTCTCTCTCTCTCTCTCTCTCTCTCTCTCTCTCTCTCTCTGTCTCTTTCTCTCTAAGCTCTTTTTTTCTTGGTAACTCTAGACCATGAACATAATATACCAGCAACAGGAAACTGTTATCTAGGCATTTTTTAAACTCTATTTCTTTGTGTACATGGGCTTTTCTCCATGGAATGCCCTTTCTTTTTGCTTCATTGACTACTTCTTATATTTTAAGACTCAACTCAAGGGTTGTTTCCTCCTGGGCCTCTTTTCTCAGTAAAACATGCTGAGTTTGATGCCCTGCTTTTGTGTTCACATAATGCCCTACATACGTCTCTAACTTTGCACTTACCCTATGGAATTCAACTTCTGTATCAGTGAATCTAACTCCGGTTGCCCTCTGAACTCTTTGAGGGCAGAGTCATATTCTTACCTGGTTTTGTTTCTTTTGGTCCAAGCATTGCATAGAAATGCCCAAGCATGCTAGCTCCTTTGCTAAACACTTCATACACATTTTGTCATCTAACTTTCACAATGTAAGGATGAGGCCTGTATTGGCATTTCAATCTTTTATTGAGAAAACAGAGAAAAAAATAAATACTTGTCCAAACCCCTGAGTCTCATATCTGTGCCAGATTGCTTTCTCTATTTTTGACTTTTCCTCACATATAATTTCAAAGTAAAGTTTCAAGTAAATTCTCCTTAATTTTGTGAGTTCTTCCTGCAAATATACTTCTCCCCAGGAAGTCTTTGCTGGATTCTGTTTTAACATTAAACCACTTGCGTCTTCCCTATTCTGTATTTCATTTTGTGATGCATCTCATTATGAATCTCCACTTTCTTCTTGTTATCATTCATCTGTCTTTCTGGTTAGTCTAATTTATCAATGACCAAAACTGTCAAATTTTGCAGCTCTTTTCAACACAGCTCTCAATTTTATGTGATCATCCCCCTGTCAACAATATCTTTTTATTTCCTTTATTCTCAAAGAGACTTTACACAAATACTGCCTTTTCCATGAAATTTTCTAGATTTTTCCAGGTGTTTCTCATAGCTTGTAGTGGTGTTAATATTCCATGAAAAGCTTAACTGTAGTCCTTATCCCACTGCATTGAAATTGTCTTTCCTCTCCCTATACTGGGAACTTTTTATAAGGACGACACTGGGTTCTGGGATTGATTCTCTTTGTATCATCCTCCAATTTTTTAAATATAGCAGATACTCAAATAGTTGTAGAAAAATGTGAAATATAAATATAATGTTTAACTTTGTTATATATAAAATATAAAAGCCATTACTCACATTAATTTATTTCATATAACCTATATTATTTACATATGATGTTTAATAACCATATGATAGTTATATATTAATATATAGTTAATTTACCCAATAATAGTTTATTCAAATAACAATAAGCTTAAATTTAGGCTCATCAAGAAAAATGATCATATTGTTTACATGTCCTAGTCAGATTTACAATGGTATTACTTTGAAAATGTCATTGGATTTTTGGATGATGAGATGAAAATTTGTTGACATTTGAGTCTGTGTTCCCTGTGCAAAGTTTAGGCTGCTTCTTCCAAGCAAAACCCTAGAGTTTTTCTTAAATATCAGAGTACTTTAATTATGTGTTGTTTAGTTAAGAGTTAAAGATTACAAAATTAAACTAAATTGAATTTAGAGTAATTGAAAAGTTGATTATTGACACCTTCTAAATATGATCACTCAAATACAAATGCAGTTTATAATGTAAACACTGGATCAACTAAGTAGGTGGTCTTAATTCTTTATAAGAATGCCACACTTGGCAGGAATACATTCTGGGAAATACATCATTACATAATCTCTTCCTTGTGTGAAAATCATATAGTGAGTTTACACAAACTTATTGCATAGCCTACCATATGTTCATGAATGTACACACAAACACACCTGTGTATATATCTATTTTGTCTATCTCTTAGGGCCATGATGAACAAAACACATGAATTAAATTAAGCAAAACGAAAATGATGTGATCAAGAGATAGATGTTAAACATAAGATATTTGAGGCTGCTGTTGTCCTAACATGATATCCTGTATCATGTGTGTGTGTGTATCCTAAAATAATAATAAAACTATAGTATAACATATAAATCAGGAACATAATTGTTTATTACCTATTTATATAGTTTCCTGGGACAGATGTGCATACAGCTGGTGGTACAGTAGGTTTATCACTACCAATACCTAAACAAAGCAGTAATGCATTGTACTATGATGTCATCTAGAATTACTAGATGATAAGAACTTTTCAGCTTCATTATAATATTTTGGGTTCAGTGTAATATGTGAATTCTGTCCTTGAGCAACATGTTGCTGTGCAAAGCATGACAATATATCATTTGCTTTAACACAGGCCTGATATTGTGATGTTGCACAGTGCAGTCAAAACAATAGGGATCTTGGAGTCTTGAAGACTGCAGAAGGCCTCCCTGGTGTTTGAAACAGTCCAAGAAAAGCATAATGGTGAGTAGATAAGCTCAATGTTTACCTGCTTCCCTCTCAACTTTACCTTTGATGCTCATTTCACTCCACCACACATGGAAGTCCAGACATTTCTCTTTTGCCCACATTTCCAGCTGTTGTAGCTTTTTACTCCAAGGTAAGCAATTTATAAATAAAATCCCCAAATAGGTATGTCTTATAACATATGACTATGAGGACAAAGGAAGTCCTGATCTATAATAACAATTGTACCTTTTTGGGAAATTAGTTTTATTGCTTACTGTTTTAATTATAACCTGTGTTATAATTCTCATTACTATATGAGATAACTACGAATTACCTCTTATAGGAGGATTGACAGGCTTAAGTCCAAAGGTTGTTTTTTTTTTTTTTTTTTGATGAATTAACCAGATTGTTCAAAGGAAAGAAAATGATTTCAGAGGGAATAAAATTCAATGTTCAATATACTGATAAATCCATTGCAAAGACCTAGGTTTTTCTTTTTGGCTCATTTCCATGTTGGTAATCCTATTAGATAGTGGTACTTTGTGTTGTTGATAACATGTGAATAGTATATTGATTCCTTGAAAAAACAGTTTAACTGTGTAATATAATGAGAAATATACCTGTATTTTTGCCATTGGGCTCTTGTTAAAATTAGATGTTATATAGTAAACACTTAATAGCATTCCTGCCTCACAGAGGGGATGTTTTCTATGGAAGTTGATTCTCTGGCAAGAAAGTGATGTTGTCCCAAAATCATCTTTATTCTTCTTTTCAAGATGAATTATATTTCTATTTATTGTACTAATTTTGGTGGAAGTAGTAATCTACAGAAAAAGTTGTTTTGAGAATTCAGTAAGGACTTGTAAGTAATGAGCTTATATACTGGAAATATATAAAGGAAATAGCTACATGGCATTTATTTCAATCATTTTAATTATTATTTATTTGCATCCTTAAATTCTTCATAACTATCAGACTTAGGAAAAATATAAATTTAGGAAAGTATTATTAGAAAAATCTCATAGACACAGATAATTGAGTACTAAATCACACTTCTTTTTATCTCTGTCTTAGTTAATCAGGTTCAAAGAGATTGTCCTCCCCTTATACCTTATTTCTGGTATTGTTTACTTGTCCTGCAGAGCTGTTTCTTTTGTTTTTACAATTTTTTTCTTTATGGCTCATAGATAGCCATCTTTGTATAGAATTCTGGATCCCATTTCAGGGGTCCTGCTTCTGCCTGCCACTTTGAATCACTGTATGAATCTGGCAGCCAGATTTTCTGCTGCCCCAGTTCAAACTGTTTGTCTGAACAGACCTGTTATTCTGAAGTGTGATCCCTTTGATTCTGACTACTTATACTGCCTGCCAGATGTAAGATTTTTGCCTGACTGAGCTGATTTCTGTTCTTTATTATCAAGGGCAAGTTTAACTCCAGAAAACAATATACCCTGGTTCCTTCACACACGTAGAAAACACACACACACACACACACACACACACACACATTCTCTCTCTCTTTCTCACACACACACACATGCATACACATACACAAATGACTACTTCCTTTTCCAGCCTAGTTTGACTAGTCTGTAATGTTTTGCATAATAGCAAATGTCAGTATTTAATATTAATTCCTAAAATTATATTTAAATTTTTAAAAATTGAAGATGTAATTGTCAGATGAATTTATTTTCTATTGATTTATGGAAACTCTTAACTTAGTTTCAGATAAATGTACAAGGTACTTAAAAGTCTGTATTCTGGAGCAAAGCTTCTCAACTCATATCTCAGCTATGTTACTTGCAGGTTATGATACTTGGCTAAATTATATAATTTTTCTATGCCTTGGCTTCTTCTCTTAAATGAGGATGATGTATTGCTGTAATGATTAAGAATTCATGTAAAACTTACAATAATATCTGGAAAACAGCAAGTGTTTAATAAAAAATAAACTATTATTTTTATGATAGAAGTATTCTATTATATTCATGAAAATCATGTTAGAACAAAGTTTAGCCTTTAAAAGAGAACCCATATTATTTTAATTATATCAGTATCTGAACCTTTAATTTGACACAGTTAAACATGGCAATATGTACTTTGAACTATTAACATAAAGGTATTTTTATTTTAATTGGTTCATCACAGTTATGCATAAAAGTGGAATCCAATGGAACCTTTCTGGAATTTGTGAACTAAATTAAAAATAAAAAGAGTATGTTTTATTTCTGATATTTAAGACAATCTTTAAAATATGTGTACAGATATTATTAAGTCATTGCTTTTTTCATGTTGGTACAATATGTCATTTTAAATGACCTTCTTTATAACATATCTAGAGTATTTGTATTTATAGACATTGAATGAGAATATTATTATTAGTATTAATTTTTTATCATATTAGGACAAGCTCAGTTTGTAGGAAAGAAAATATCTAAAAAAGGAAACAACAATAAAATCTCTGTCAATTAACTTTCACTTAAGGCATGATGAAGGTTACAGAAGCTACCATGAATCTTCCATGGAAAGATACCAATGAACTCATAGGGTAAAAATAAAATAGAAACACAAGTCAAAACAAAATACAAGTAATCAAATATCAGCTATTTTGCTTTCAAAATCCAGTTATATGGAAATAGTGACTTCTTATATCATGTAGTTTTTAACAATTAAGTGCATATTAATGATGTCAGTTTTTTAAAAAAGATTCTATTAGAATCTTAAATGACTGTTGATGTTTTTTGAAATATAGCAATATCATTTGATAAATAAAAAGGGAAATGTCATGTATTTTGTGACGTAATAGGCAATTTTTCAGTACCTAGGAACTTTTACTTTACATCTAATTGCTGTATTCATGTATCGGTATCTCTCTCTGTCTGTATTTCTTCATAATTGTATCTGTATCTTTGTCTCTTAATTTTGATTGGGAGGCATCCCCAGCACCATTACTGCTGAAAAAAAATGCTGTTGCTCTCAGTCCTGATAGTTGTTTTTATTTTCTACTTTTTCCAAAGGTTGTTATAAAATATCCTAGAATATTAGGTAATCAGTGACTTTCTCATTTGTGTTATTTCTCTGCCATTACATTTGATTCTTGTGCTTTTTCTTATTGATTTGTAATTCTTTATGTATTCAAAATGGCAATCCAATATTAATTATAAGTATGTATCTTATTCTAGTTTGCAGTTTCTATTTTTTTTTTGAGGGGATCATTTATCAGCATAAGTTCTTAATTATAACATAAAAATTATCAATCTTTTTCTTACTTTATTTTTGTACATTAAAAAGGTTTTTCTGTGCACTTGTTTGTTTTAGAAAATCTGTTTTAACCTGATTCCACAAATATATTCTCCCATATTTATTCTGAAAATAGAGGTTTATCTTTCACATTTAAAGGTTTAATTTATTTGTGATTGATTTCTGTGAAAATGTGAGATAGAAGTCTAATTTAATTTTTTTCCATATGGATAACCAATATTTTCAGCACCATTTACTGAAAAATTCAAAAGCTCACAAAGTATAACACAAAATTGATCATAAATCAAGTTTTCATTAATGTTCAGATTTGATTATGCTCTTTTTAATTTTCTTTTAGAAATTTATGCTTTTATGTACCTGTATCAACACTGCTTTACTTTTACCCCAGCTTTAGTATAAATCTTGATATTTTGTAAGGCAAATTCCCTCAGCATGGATATACTTGGCTCTACCAAATAGGCCAACACAAAGCTTTTAAATGTTAATTGCCTTTGCTCTGTCTCTATCTGGGAAGAGTTGATATGATTAAAATATTGGATTGCCATTAACAAGATATCTTTTATATGTTTTTTCTTATTGTTGGATGCTGGTATTCTGAAGTGCAAATAAATTTGTGTAGGCTAATTAACTCAGAAACAAACTAAGTTTGCTAATTCTAATATTTATTTATACATTACACCTCATTTTTAGTTAAACAAGGTTATTATATCATGATGATGACAGTTTGTATCCTTTCCAATCCTCTTAATTATTTTTCCCTTATACATGACTAATAATTTGGAAACAAGTTTAAAAATTTTCTTATTTCTAAAGAACATCTTCAATGTTAATCAAATTTTATGTGTGTAGTTATAATGTTCATATTGCAAATATATGTACAGTTCCTGAGTTTCACCTTTATTTCTAGTTTTTTTTTTTTTTAATTTAATTAACAGATATTTGGTACTCTCTGTGTGTGGGTGGGGGGGTGTGTATTTGCTTTTATATGTTAACATGTTAATATGAGTAATTGCTTGTTTAGTGATAAACCAATATGGATAAATTCTTGTTCTTGAACAGTTGGCCTTTATAGATATTTAGAAACTGAATTTATTTCTACCATATTTTGAATTTTACCATCTGTATTATGAATGAATAATCCTTTCAGTTTCTCAAATGATATTTTATTATTCTTTAGTTTCAAAGTTACATGAGTCCCATGAAATGAGTTCTGAAGCTCCATTTCTATTCTCTGAAAGTATTTAATAGAAATTCACCAGAAAAAAATGTTGGCCTGAGATTTTAATTGTAATATTTTCAACAAAATAATTTATTTTTTAAAAAAGTGACAGGAATACCCAGAATGCCATTTTTGTATATTCCATTTGCTGAGTTATGTTTGGCAGTAGTCTCTCTCATGAAATTATTCCAATTTAGTTTCATAAAGTTTTCTACAATCCTCTTTGGTTTTTAATCCCTTCAATCTATGTACTTCAGTCTCAGTCTCTTTTTTGTTGTATTATTATTTAATATTGCTTTCCTTTGAGGTGTGGTTTTAGTGTTTTTTTTTTTTTTTTTTTTTTCAGTGCTGGGGATTAAACCCAGGGCCTCATGCATTCTGGGCAAGCTGTCTAAAACTGAACCCCATCCCCAAACCTCATATTGCTCTTTTGAATGCACTTAGCAAAGTGCATGTGAATGATCTCCATTGTGTAATAATTTTATTTATCCTTTGTTCCTTTATTTTTTGTTTTTATGGGGGCATTGTGGCT